CAGCCTAAGGCCTGTATCAGTGAATCATGCTTTCCCATCAGAAGTGAGGTGCATTGAATTCACCCCTCCAGCCGCCAGAGCAGTGGTTCTCAACCTTCTGGCCCTTTAAATACAGTTCCTCATGTTGTGACCCAACCATACAATTATTTTCGTTGCTACTTCATAACTGTAATGTTGCTACTGTTATGAATCCTGACGTAAATATCTGATATGCAGGACGGTCTTAGGCGACCGCTGTGAAAAGGTCGTTCGACCGCCAAAGGGGTCGCGACCCACAGGTTGAGAACCGCTGTCCCAGATGAAGCCCTGTTCTGACCTTTCTTATATACAGCCCATGTCCATTTACTGTTTAATCTATAAATAAACACTTTAAAAACAAAAAGGACATAAAATGTGACAATTTAACAAAAAGGAAGGGAAATGTACGGGCCCCACCCCTTCCCATTCCGCCCCTCAGAAGGCGTGCCCACCCTGCACGTGCTGCTGTCCTCCCCTTGCGAGACCGCCCGGCAGGTGCTTCTCCTCTAATAAAGCCTGTAGTCCTGGTTTCGGCCTCTGTCTGATTTTCATTTTTGGTGCCAAAACCCGGGGAATTATTCAAGATGGGAGACGTGCACCATGAGGTTCCACTGTAACTGGTTCCACTGTCACTGGGTCTGCTGTGCCCGAGTGGGGTGGTCTGAGCTCTGCCCTCTGGTTGGGGAGAAGGGCCGACCATTCGCTCTTAAGTGTCCGTGGTTGAGGGACGATGGCGTTGAGTAGGTGGCTGCAGCCGCTTGGCATCTGGTCTTTCCAGCTGCGAACCGCTGGTTCCCTGTCTGCCTTGTTCCCTGTCCCCTGGACCGGCTCTGCCCGTGTCTCCCGCCCTCGGAGCGGCCTCGCCTCGCCTGCAGCCTGGTGCTCTGCCCAACACCCAGCGTGTCCTGGGGACGCCCCTCCAGGGCGCTCTGGGGGGGGGGGACTCTGGCTGGATGGCGTCCCCTCCCCCTGAGCAGCACTGCCCCCGCTCACGGACACCCTCTGGCCCCGCAGCCACAGCCCCTGGGACCCCCGGAAGGACCTGGTCCAGTTTGAGCAGGACGGGGCTCTGCGCACCCTGCAGCAGGAGAG